AGCAGGCTAACAGAAGCAAGTGTACAGAAAGTGGATGGTTACAAGCCACACTGCAGAAGGCACTCCCACCTGAGGAATCACCGCTACTAATAGTGCTGGTAGTACATGAGCCTCCTGCTCTGCTGCAGAAGGGATGAGGCAGCATCTCTCACTCAGCCCCTTTCCCAGTAAATGAAGGTCTCAGCACCCGCTGACTGCTGTGTTCCCAGGTCAGAGGGAGGGACTGCATTTCTGTGTCATGGATTTGGTTCAATACCCTTTAATCCTGGCATACTTTAACTATTTTCCTCAAATCCTATTTCCAGGCCAAATGCACCAGGACATTGCAGGCGTTTCTATTATTTAGTTATGATTCATTGAATTTGTGTTGTAACAGCAGTTAAGAGCGCAGGTTTCTGTGCTTTACCTGGAAGCATTCTCCCTGGTGGCGCAGGTTTAAGTCCAGTCCATTCCTTTGGGAAGAAAGCGAGTTGAGGGTGAATGAATACAGCGCAGTCGCTTCACGAGTCAAACTGCTTCATTATGCTCTGAATACCAACATGAGCACCTGCTGGTCCAGAAACCCCTCCCATGACCCAGCCCCTTCACTTACGCCACAGCATTGCAGAAATTGCACTTGTTTGTGTAGGTAATCCCGTTGGTGCCACAGATGGGCCTGTACTCCAGGGTGCAGGGGCTCACATGACCACTCCTTGATCTCAGGTGGCCAGTACAGTCGAGCTGAAACAGTCACAGAACAACTTTTTGGTCTCTGCTCCCCTTTAACCAATCCTGCATAATGGAGCATGGTGCAAGAGGCTTCTCCCCCTCTCCCCAAAGCTGCAGGGGGAGAGGAGCTTCCAGCCCCAGCGTGGTGGAGTTGAAGGAACACAAACAATCTAAATCCTGCGCGTGGGTACAGCATGATCCTGGAGTATCTATTTTTTCCTGCCCTGGAGTGGGCTTCATCTTGGGGCTTTTCAATGAGAATGCCACCATGAAGGATCTTTGCCTAAAATGCCTTATGCGGCAGCAACTTTTGCTGTGAAATGTCAATGCCACTTGAAAATGGAGTTTACACTCACCTCGGTGTTTCTGCAGTTACTCTGAGTGTACTGAAATTGAAGTCGTCGTATTATGTTAAATTGCACAGCCAGAATGTTTCTTTACGCTTTCTCTCTAAACTAAAAATAGAGATACTTCTCCACTTCATGGAGCTCTGTATATTGCTAAACAAACTTCATGATAAATGTTCTGATAGAATCTTTTTTTCTGTTAGAAAATTATGGTTTAGTCAAAATCCAAACTTCCTTTGGGAATTTCTTAGCTTCAACAATCCTGTAAGTCTAAGTCTAAAGAGAAGTGTTTTGATAACACTGAAGCACTATTGAAATCAAAAGTTTCCATTCTTAAGTCTGGTGTTATATACACGATAACATTTTAAAACTCACTGATTTTAAATTCTAAAATTAAAAAAAAATCTTGCAAATCTGAAATTCTTTCTTTTCATTCCAGTTTTGACAGTTTGAAATTGTATGGTTTTAATATAGAATTAATCCTAGGCAAGGTTTCTGTCTAGCTCTCTGCCATCATTTTACTCAACACTGCTCAGCGCCGCAGGAGAAGGAACCGATCTCAGGCTGTACCTTAACACATCTCCCATCGTGCTTCTTGTCGATGGCTCGGTTACGGCTAAAGAGAGAGAGAGAGAGAAGGAAAAGAAAGATTAATCTCTTCATACCATGTAGTCACCTCACTCATTAAGTCTCTCCACTTGTAAAGCCCCTGTAATTAATCAAATTCAGGAGCTTTGACACAGAAGATCATGGGCAATAGGGAAGACAGAAATTTATGAAAAATCAAGTCCACCCCATGATTAGTCACAACCCCAAAGGCTTTTGTCTGCTGCTTGAACTGGCATTGTAGGTAATATACACAGGTAGGCAATATACTCACAGGAATTCTCTGCAGAGGGAGCACTCGTTAGGGTAGGTCACGCTGTTGGTCCCGCAGACAGGTTCGTAGTTGCGGGGACAGGCAAGCTCCATGTTTCCAGCCAACCGGTACACGCTGCAGGAGGCCTGTTAAAGAGGACTTGTCATTTCTCTGAGTGGAGAGAAGGGTGTCCTTGTGCTAATCAAGTTTTCACTGCATTGGGAGACTGCTGATGGTCATTTTTTTTCTCTATCATTCCTCCACAGTGAAGAAGAGAGGGAACAAAATATACCACGTTTCTTACAGCACATAAATGCACCTTTTTGCTATTAAGACTTTCGGTAATTTCGGCAAGGATTGTGGGCAAAAATGATCATTCCTCGGGAAATGAAGACAGGGAAGATATTTAGGCAGTTTTTCAATAACTGTATAGATTTTCTGCTGGCAGTCTGTACTGTGCTGACTGTTACTCTACATTATTAATCGCTGGCTTTTTTACTGCCAACATGGCAAAGGTATTTTCTTATTTTGGGGGAAAGAGGTGGTATAATACTTAGGGGCACTTTTCCTTCTTCCTTTCTTGCTTGCTCTCCTTTTTTTTTCTCCTCAAGTCGTCCCTGGGATACAGTATGAGTATGAATTATTCATCTAGACTTAAAAATCAAGACTAAATGACAAAGAAGATCTACTACTCACCCGTTGTTGAGCAATAACAGTATCTACAATAAAAACAGAGATTATAAAATATAAAGATTGTACAATGTCCTTGACTAAAATTCCTTTGGAATCATCAGTTTCCCAACAGAGTAACCAAATACACTTTCCAATTACTGAGAAGCGATTGTTTTTCCAAATATTTTATCTACTCCAAGTAAACAAGAAGTTATATACTAAGATTAAAAAAATCAATTATTTGTGAAACCAGAATTTTTGACTTACTAAAGAAGAAATAGGACATAAACTTCTCTCCTTTTTCAGCACTATTATCCCCACTGAGGCTCATAAGCTTAAATCAGACAAATACATTCTACCCATCTATAGTATTTATCTGCACAAGGATGAAGTTCATTAAGAGGGAGTCCACATATTACTAAATCATCACATCTCCAAAAGGCTGAACACTCCTTTAGGATGTATCCTTCAGGACAGTGAGACACTAGCATAGACTGTAAGAAAAACAACTTACCAGAAAGGCAGCTGAGAAGGACAAGGCCAAGAAGGGCAACGCTTCTTGTTGTCTTCATAGCAGAGATGTTTGTATAGTCTGTTACTTGCAATCTGTTGCTGTTGAGTTCAGTAGATAGTTGTCAGTCTTCTCTCTCCGCACTATATATATACATCTTCCTGACCTTGCAAAGCCATCCCAGAATGTAATTATTTGCTCTGTAAACTAAGAAAATTGTATTGATTATTGAGTTGAGCTCTAAAGAATACTTGTTTGTTAGAGAGATGGCCAGAAGAATTAAACAAAAATGCGAGCCACACCCAGCCTGTGAACAAAGGCGCCCTGCTGTACAATGAGTGATTTGTACTTTCCAAACAAGAGCACTGTCTCAACAGTAGATGTTGTGAAATTACGTATGGAAGTTGGTAAAGAAAAAAAAAAGCCCATTTATTGAAAGTATTTGAACCTATGCACACCATATTACATATACTAGACAGTATTGGAGCTCCAGGAGATTTGTCTGGTACACCAGAGTTGGGGAACAGCAGCATGGGACACCCTAAGCTTTTATGGACATAAAATCTGGGGTTTGGCAGTCATCAGTGTACTTTAAAGATCCTGAGGGCTCCGTGTATCTCTTCACACTCTCTCCTGTAGTTTCCTGGTACACTGGATTTCTCATCAACAGGAAGGAAACAGTCATCACAACGGAAAGCATTACTAAAATTTCAGAAGTTCATATTTCTATGTAGGAGCAAGAGTTATTAATCTGTTGGCAATGGGCATGCGTCTGATTAAGAAATGATGAGGATAAGTAGCCTTAAATCTGGACTGGGATAATGTTTCCTCTTAATGGCAAGCAAGTGGTATTCTGTGCAGGTGAAATGGTTTTCTTAATACCAAAGACAGAAAAACAGCTGCAAACAGAAGGTGAGTCCTCAAGCTCTCCCCTTCCCCCTCTGTTCTTTTCCATTAAGTTTAGAGTGTCAGATGAAAGTCGTGTTTTAGGGAAGATCGTGAAAAATAACCACTCTGTTAAGTGATTCAACTCTATCACAACTATACGGAAAACCAAATAAGGAATATTGTACAAAATAATACATTTTTAATTTAAGATAGTCACGGAAGGAAGTGAGGGATGGAACATGTTTGTGCTTCAGAAGAAGCTTGATTCATACATGTGGCTTAAAGGCAGCCTGAGTTTTAAATAGAAAATCAGAATTGTTTTTTCTTATTATCCTGGGAGAAGTTCAGGTCTTGGCATGGGCAGATAAATCATAAAAATGTAGCTGAAAGCGTTAGGGAGCTGTAGTCACAGAATAGAGCTTGCGGGATTTGGCATGTTCATATCAATGAAATCATTTTCCTCAAAAATAAATTAGTAATGCTCTTTGGATCTCGTTCACAAATATCAGAAGTCGGAGGGTTCCTTTGAAAGCTGTTTCTGGTGTATTCTTAGCATCTTGAGTGACTTGACTTTCAGATTCCTTGAACTCATTGTGAGCATATTTGCAAGGGAAGCAGTAATCACAGAAGCATTAATATTGATTATTCTCCAGGGGCAAGAATGCCAAAGACTAAAAACAAGACTTCAGAACTTGCACCAGCCACTGGTGGAGATGACACTTGCTGGTTCTGCGATGGTTATAGTGAGGCTACAGGAACGTAATCTCCTCTTCAGCCCTGTGACTTGAGCTTCTCCATGTCCACCTCCAGGCCTGAGAACCCCAGTCATCAGAAACTGCGCTGCTTCTCCATTTGCCTCTCCTGCCAGGCTGAAATCACACTGGTCACTCAGGAGCTGTTGTGAATGGCAGGGTATCTGTTAGGGAGCAGCATTGTTCTCACATTTGGCCAACACCTGCCCTTTGATTAATTAGATCCGCTGGGGAGATCCCCCTCTGATCCGCGTGCTGCTTCTGAGAGTCTGGGTAGTCAGCCAGGACTGCTCCAAAAGCAGCTCATTTCCTCCAGTAATCTCTGTCACCTCACAGGGCAGCAGGAAGAAAAAGAAGTGAGGAAAGGATCTTGCTACAGGGTCTATGAGAAAGGATGGGAGATAATTGGTAGCAGACAGAGTAAGGCAGCGAGAGCTGCTGGGCTAGGTGTGACGTGGGATTGCACAAGGAGCTCCATTAACAAGAAACAGAGGGAATGGGACAGAAGTAATTGCAGGGCTTGAAAACAGGTGTTAGGACCAGTCAGAACCAACTGTCTCCATGCATTTGGAAGAGTGAGCTTTGGGAAATGTCATACACATGTTACAAATGGGAAGGGCAAAGTGAACTCACCTGTCAAAATCCCTCTGTGATATTCAAGAGTATCATGATGGTGTGCTTAGTGACTTTGAGCATAGGATTATTTTAATGTTCCTACATATATGAGATTCATAGAAAAGTTTAAATAAAACTCCTCCTGCTATTTCAAGTTCCTAGAGGGCAAACATTCAAGAAGGTTATGGCTACATGAATGGGATAAACTCTGCTAGTCATATGATGGATCCTCTTGTATCAAGGTGAATTTCCAATAACTCTGGAAATTCTACCCAGTTTCTAATCCAGCATTATTTCTTCCCATAGCAGTGATATTTTCCCAGGAATCTTTTCCTCTGGTCATGAGACTCCCTATCTCAAGCAAGTCCTTAACCTACCACAACCTAAAAAATTCTTCATTTATCTTTCATGCTTTAGTTTAAAATTTGTCACAGGTTTCATCTGGCTACAAAGAGAAATAATAAATTATTAATTTTTTAAATAAAAAAGGTGGATGTGTGCATGCAAGACCCCATGTTGTTATTCCAGCAGCGGTATCATTGTCTTTACTCCCGTATCCTGTTATCATGCACCAGACCGTAATCAAGACTAAAGTGGTACTATCCTCCAGTCTATGCTACTGTAAAGACAAATGCGAAATGCTTTTCTTTGCCATCGACTAGCAAGCAATGTGACGTACTATGAGAGCTCCCAAAACAGATTGCTGTTCCCAGACCTTTGCACACGGGGGCAGAACTGGATCTTCTATGAGAACACGAATTCAATTTACAGTGAGCAAAGCCCCTGCTCTAAGCTGCACTCATCTAATATTTCTCCTTGTAGTTCAGCTATCTGATTGCTGCCTGCATATCTCCAGTCTTTTAAGCATCGATGATATCACGGGCAAGGGTGTCTGGAATAATTTGGCTGTCTGGGAGCCGCATACTGACAGCAAAAGGCTGAGGATCTGGCCGTGCACATCCCAATCCCTCAGCGAATCTCAGCTCTGCCTTGCTGCAATAGCTCTGACACAGCCAGCCCCAAAAAACGACATCTCAAAGTAATTTTCTTTTAAAACATAATTTTATTTTTCTTTTTTTGTAGTAACAAGCCGTTTATCCTGACTGAAGCCTCAGAGAGAACCTGCATTAACGGGAAGGTCTAGACTGGCCTGAGGTATATTTTGGCCAGCAACAAGTAGAACAATACACCGAAACAGAAGCATTGATATAAAATAGAGCAGAACAAAATAACTGCATGCAATGTGTTAATCAGGTTGTGGGGTAATTGAATGGCATTTCCTAAATTCACAAACATCAGATAATGACATAAAGAGCTGAGGTACTGCTTAAAGAATTGTACCATAAAATATCTCAGCAGGCAGACAATGTTTCCTGCCTTGAATTTCCTGGAGGGAGAGTTAGATTAGTAATGGTGAGAGGATTTTGCAGTGTTGTGGCAGGATTTTATTGAGCAGCAACAAAAAAATTATTTCCAACTAGGTGCCCATAAAAGAAGACTGTCTTCCCCACCATCCCAAGGAGCTGCCCCCGCTGGGGCAGGGGGTCTGGGGTGCCACTGGGGTCCTGCTCTGCCCTCAGTTACTCCTCAGTAATACTGCATAACTCTGCATCAGGGCGGATTTCTACTCACAGTTTCCCCTCAATTGCCTGGTGGATTTTCCTGTTCAGCGGACACGGCCCCTGGAAGATGCCCTCTGAGGACCACCAAGGTTTTGAGTGTGACTGGGAGCTCTGGTTGTCTCCAAGGCATCATGGCTCCTGAGGGCCATCCTCATCCTCTCTGCTGCTCCCCAGGAGAGAAAATAAGTTCTGGAGCTGGTGTTCTCTTGCTCCCGACTCTCTCGCTCAGTGGAGGGGAACAAGAAGGCACATGGAGCCCCTGAGCCACGCACCCCCAGCACTACCTCCCAGAGCCTCAGTTTGTCTTGGTCCTAAGAAATTGCATCTGACACTGAAATGCCTTCCCACACACAGACATCCCTGTCACAGAAGGGCTGTTCAAGCCCTGGGAAGGGTCTTAGCACTAAATGATTGCAGAGAGTCATGTCTTTTGGAAATAAATTGTCTCCCTTCAGAGAGCTGCTCTCTCCAGTGTCTGGAAAGTGACACATTGTCATTTAAGATCATTAACTATTTGACTGTGAGACTGCTGCCTATACAGCACACCACACTGCCAGTGTTTCGCTGTTAATGAATAATAAATTAATGCTATGACTCTGAGCCCTTCCTTTCATCAGCTGAGATTTCCAGGGGCCGAAGAATCTCAAAGGATCCTCTACAAGCCACAGTTGACGTAATCACCTACAAGCAGCAGCTAAGTGGTGGGTGAGGTGCAGAGACAGGCTGCAGTAGCAACTGCTAGCAGTCCTCCGAACATCAGCCCTGTTGGGACTGACTGCCCACTGGTGTTCTGCCATACCCTGCAGCAACGAATGTTGCAAGCACGAACGTGGGCAGCCAGGTATCTGCCTGCCCAGAGAAAGCATCCTGTCCCATTGCTTTGGGAAGCAGAGTGGATTGCAAAAGGGCCTCTTTCACCTAAAGATGGATTTCCAACCCTGCTTGCAAGGTGGGGAGATGCAGCTGGGAGCTGCCCTTCTTTACCACTTCTCTTGTGGGCATGAGAAATTGGGCATAACCCTTGGAAACTGACACAAGGATGAGCAGCTCCCGATGCTAGCAAGACCCTCTGTGCCTCCATGGCTTTTGCAGATCTGCCACAAAACACCCCCCAGTGCAACAACGTTGGGACTGTCCCTAATCATGTGTATGTTCAGGTTTGCTTGGGGCCCCTTCATGCTGACAAAGTCTACCACAGAGTAATGCAGGTGTGAGGCAGCAGGTATTTAACAGCAGTGGTTAGGGAGGCTGTCAGTTCCTCTCACCCAAGCAGAGTGACTATCCAAGATGCCCTTAGCATCCAATCTTAGATTGGAGCATGGCACCAGGCTGCATCTCCAGCCCTGGTTTTCTTTTGGAAAGCTGGATGAAGGCAGATGGCCTCAAGATTTACCCATTGCCTTTACAGATGGAGTTCATTTCTTTGTAGATTAGAACAATGTAATCCCTCTCCCTGTGATTTGCCCATTAATACCAGCACCCCAGGATTGTTGCAGTGATGTAATCACGCAACATTTTAGGTAAAACCAGAATGAGACATTAAAGCAAGATATAAATGCTGACAGCTTTTTTTATTAAGCAGAGGTTTCAAGAGTCATCAGGAGCTTCCAAGGCTTTAGGGGAGCATTTGCCATGGGGAAAATCAGCATTCCTTTTTCTGAGCTGAAGCCTGTCAAGAAGTTAACACGCTCCAAAATGCCTCAAGAAAAGAATCCCATGGCTTTGCCTGCAAAGAAAGGAATTTTTAACTCAGATACAGAATACTTGGGCTTTTACTGTTTGTCTCTCCCTCTGGTGAAGGGTATCTCATAGAGGAACTTAACCAAAACGCTATTCCAGCTATTTCCTTTTATTACTAACATTGAAAGACAAGATAAAGACCTAATTTAAAGAAAGAACAAATACTCTGTAGGAAATAGACTTTGTTTGTTGGAAGAAAGCTCTTCAGCATTTACTTAATAGGGAAATGAAGAACTCTACTAGGTGCTAACTATTTACACTTGAAAGAAAGGAGTTCTTGGCAAATCATCCCAGTTAAAAACTGAGCCTTGCTAGTAAGAGAACAAACACAAAATAAAATAACTTTACTTCTCCAATCAGTCTGCAAGACTGATTAGTTAGTTTAAGCAAGTTAGTTCACCATTTAGTGAAGTGGGTTTTTTCATACATACACGAATGCATTGCAGAACAGGCATTTATTGCCGTATGTTCTGCCATCGGACCCGCAGTGTGGGTAGTACTCCATCGTACAGACAGGATTCGGCACCACTTGGTTGCCACAGTAGTCCTGTAGACAGATGCAACATATGTTCACAAAAAAAGCTCTCAACAACAGGTATGTAAGAAATGTGACATTAGGAGACTCCCCACACACCCTGAGCTCCCCCAAGTACTGGCCAGCAGCAGATGCTGAGAAAAAGCCCAGGGACAGAGCAGGAGTACAGTGGCACACTGCCTCCAGCGATATAGAGCCTGTGTAACCATTGTAAATGCTGCTGCAGTAACTTTGACAATAACTTGGACACAAACTGAACATTGTGCTACTTGTTGTAACTATCATCAGATGAAAATAGCAATTTCATCCAATAATATCTGTGGCAAATATTGCTCAGACAGCTGGGTGACTCAGGATTTTCAAATGCTCGATCACAATATGATTAGTAAGGATTTATACAGCAACTGCTTTAAGGAAAGAAATGATAGAAAATAGAAAGATCTGTCCCTTACCTGCTGGGCATCAGTATCTGGAAGAAAGAAAAAAAGAAGGAAATATGATACAAATGCAGTTCATGGGTTCTGTTAGAGTTAAAAAACCTGTGAATGCATGCCCTGAATATACAACTTTTAATTCACTGTTTGTTAGAGATTCCTTAGACAAAATGAATTTCAGGCAAAATTTTGTGTCATATTGTATGTTTACAGCATTGATTCTGCAGTATAATTTTTTAATGAGGGTTACAGTCAGGATGGAAAAACACGTACAAAATGAAAGAATGAAAATGCATTTGCTGTGGTTCAAAGGATAGAGCAGGACACATACTCAAAGCTAAGCAAGTTATTGAGGCAAAGAGGGTCATAAAGCTGGCGAGTCCACAGAGGCAGCATCTTGTATGCATTGCCACAATAGCTTTTACATAAGAGGAGTATTTAGGGAGATGTAACTTCTACAAAGCTTCTACAACTATTCAGGCTCTCAAATTACATCTCAGTTAGGGATGACTACAGAAATGTTCCCTTTCATTCAGTAAAATAATTTGTGTTTCTGCAACATTTCAGAGGTTAAATACTGGATGTCTGAGTCTCTGGGTTGTACCACATACATGTCACTTCTTTCATTATGCATAAACTAGCGCTGAGAGTAGAGCTGTTCCCACAGTTGTTCTTACCCACTCAGTTCTGTTGCTAAAATATTACCCCATAAGTGATAGTCTTTGATGTCAAGTCTTTTCAACACTATCTTTCTAGGAGTAAATAAGTCCTTGTAGAATGAAGCTCCTTCCAGTCTGAGGATGTTTTTGTGGTTTTAAAGACAGTCAGCGCTTATTCAAGGCAGAGCAGGAGGCAATAAAGCTACTCACCTGGGATGCAGCAAAGGGCCAGAGCAAAGACCAGCAACACACTGGCAGTCTTCATGGTGGCTGGTGTTTGTGTCCAGCTGAGCCTTGATTCTGCCCTCAGGTGGTAACCATGCTTATATGTACATGCACATGTTTGTTTTGGCATGTGTGTTTGTGTGAACGTGCGTTCATATTTGGCTTATCCACAGTTACCTTGAAATAACATTCCGGATCTTTTGTTGGGGTGGCAATCTTGATGGAGGTAAGCCAGGAAGAACGCTTTTTCATGAACAGGAGTCACACAAAGCTTGGATATGTTAGATAAAACCCCTGAGTCATTATTTCAAGTGAAATATATGACAGGTCTCTTCTGAAGAACCATAGAAAATTCCTGCAGGCAAAAGAGCAACTGTACAAACGTAAGCAGCAGCTGCTGTCAGATTTTCTCTATGTGCACCTATGTGCTTTTTCATGAGCAAAATGTTGAATGAACCACTTCCAGAGTGGAAAGTGTCTACTTTTATTTTCATGCTTCATCCCAGTAAAGCATTATTAAGTTTCAGTGAAACCAGCAAACTAGGAAGGCAAGCATGAGAGTGTCCCAGACAGTGAAAGGAGTCCTTGGACTGGACAAGAGATGGAGAAACTTTTATGGGCATATGCAAAGAATTTATAATTTTTATTTCCCCTAAAAGCCATTAGCATTGTGGGTTAGGTTTGCAGTAATGGAGTGATAGCCTGATGATGACAGAATGATGTGAGACCCTAGCCTGGATCCTAAAAAAGTTGAAAAACCAATCTGGAAATTGCTGGTTCATCCATCTGCCCATCTTAGCATAAATCCTTTGTTTTATCACCAAAGCTTTGCTTTTTTGGATGACCTCATTCCGTTATGGAAAACGAGCACCCCCCTCCCTTTGGCTCTTAGAAGAAATACATATGGGAGATACTGCTTTTTAGAAGGGATATGCCCAATTTATTTATGTTTCTTTTGTGTGGATCGAAAAAACACCAACTTAATACTCCAAGAGGACAAAAGCAAAATAAATTTCATGGACAATATGCCAATGACAGGTCACACTCTCAAAAAACAAGGATAATTTGTCCTTGGATTGTGAAACACTGCTGAAATACTCTGTGGGCTGGCAAAGAGTATTATGTTATTAAAGACTAAGAGAGAAGACAAGTAGGCAGGAGTAGGAATCATCCGTAGGAAGGCATTTATCTTAAAACACTTGTCAGTTGTTAAAGGAAGTTTTCAAGATGAGAAAAACCTAGAAATAAGTCGTTTGGAGGACCTAAGCGAATAGGCAGTGCCCACTCACGTGTCTGAAAAACATGGGCTTTGCTAACAGACTGCCCTTGCCCAGTGCTGTGCCTCAGGTGAGGGCTGTGCTCAGGAGGCCGGGGAATCAGCTCTTGGTGCAGGCACCACCACAGCCTGAACGGCTTTTGCTGATGATGCCTGCACAGGGCAAGTGCACCAGAAATACCTTAGGAGAAATCAGCTAGTGTCATTGCTTCAGAGTGGTATTTCAGCCCTTTAAAATGTCAGACATCTGAAAGGGTCTGAACGCTAATGTAGGCTGACTATCAGTTCTATGCAAAGACACACAGCTCTGAGGTTCACGCATCCATATTTGATTTTCTGCCTTTTAGGAGAAGGAGAGGAGCAAGACATTGTTCTTGTTATATCCCAGAGCGATGAGCACGTAACCTATTCAGCCTGGCATCATCATTCAAAAAAATCAGAATAAAATATTTCATAAGGCAACACATGAAACAACACAAAGAAATGTTGCTGATGTAGTTTATTGAGAAAGAAAATTAGGAATGAGCTGAGTTCCCCAGAGGGTGAGATGAACTGAGGTGAGATCTTTAGCTAGGATTTGCCAGTGGGGATCCTGTAGTGAACTCTCTCAGCCCTGATATTCAGCATTTTCCAAAATGGCTTAAAGTGAGAGTCCCATTGCTGTCCCTGAAATTGAGGAGAAGAAAAAATGGATTAGACACAGAGTTCTTCCTGCTATAAGCTGTCCTTTTGCTTGACTTCTAGTGAAGGCGTCAGATAGGATCCTGCCCCAGAGCCGAAGAACTTGCGGACTCAGAGTCCCGTTAGCTGTTTGATTATTAAGAGATGAGCAAAATCATTTAACCCATTCTTAAGACTGAAAGTATTTGGGGGGAAATTATAATGAAACTTCAAATTTCCTTTTCTTTGCACATGCAAGAAAAATTCCATTAAGGTTAATAGTCTTCAAACCATTCGCACTAACAAACCAGACATAGATCTCCATATAACTAATGAAAAAGGAAGAAAAAAAAAAAAAAAAAAGAACAGTTGGCATGATGGCTGGTATTCTCTCCTGCCTCAAATCCCTGATCAACACTGGCCAGCAAACAAGGAAGTGGCAACTGTGCAAACTTGTGCCTATAGGAGGCAACTGATAACACGAATGTGATCCATGTTTGTACATACACGACTGCGTTGCAGAATTCACACTTATTGCCGTATGTTTTGCTGTCAGAGCCACAGAGAGGCTTGTACTCAAGTGTGCAGACAGGTTTAGGGTAGTCACTGCAGTCAACCTGCAAAAAAAAAAAAAAGTCTAATGTGAAGGATATGAAGGAGTCAAGAGCAGAAGGGCTTGAACCCCTAGCTACAGCTGCAGTGCTAATGATAATGATCTAACTAAAAGTAATTAACTTCCTTGCAGAATCTGATATAAACTGAGGTGCCTGTTTCTCCTGTGCCAGAAGAATTTAATAATATAAAAATAGATCATAATTTCCTGTTTGACAAGATGCATATCATAACCTGACCACAGCATTTCTAAGCAGCAGCTGTTCACTCGGTGAATGTGCCATGCTTGTGATCACATTGCACCATGTTGCCAGCCTGGCCAAGAAATTAAATGGAAAAACACTGGTGTCTGGAGAAGTGTAGGTGCGGATGCCTGTACATATCTCCCATAGTCTTCAAACAGGAAGATCAGCGCTTAGCTACATACTGTGAGAGTGCGATTCTGTTTCTTTGTGCCATGGGTGCTACACTTGCTGAGAGGTATCATAGTGCAAAAAATGTCCACGGGTCCAGGAAGACGCTGAGGAGTTTCATGGAGAAATCTGTTGAGGCTTACTGACTACACAGAAATCGAACCTAGCTGAGGTCCATCACCTGAAAATATTGGAGGCTGGAAGAGTAGAAGTCCCATACATACTCAGCTCTACTCTTACTCTCTCCTACACAATCGTTAACAACCCCTGCTAAGAGCAGGCTCTGCATCAAGCCATCATGGGCTTGATGGATCATTGGTCTGACCCCAAAAGCCATTCTCTGTTCTTATTCTCAGTTCTCCCTGATGGATTATTTCTGCTATTACTCTTTTTGCTGATCCCTTCCTGTGCTGTGACCCTCTTCCTTCCCTGACATTAGTGTGTATAATGTGTATTACATGTGGAGAATGCAAAATCTTCCCTGTGCACAGCACAGCAGCGGTTATACTCCTGCAGGATGCTGCTAATCTGTGGTCTGCTGCAGACACTGGCAGTGCTTCCCCTGACCAAAAGCCAGTCCCTCATCAGGCAGTTCACTTACTGTAACAGTTTCCCTCCTACTACATTCACCGTCGTACTTCTTGCCAACACTGGTTCCAGACTCTCTGGGAAGGGAAGAGACTCATGTTAGGGAGCACTGTGAGCAACCTGCTCTGCTGAACACCACGTCCCAGCAATGCTGATCAGCCTCAGGTACAACATATGGGATACAGAAGACACCCAGCTAAGGTTGTGTCCACATGGCTCTAGATATCAGCTCAGGTGGTGTCACAGCCTGCCAGAGTGCTGTTTTATAGCGTGATGAGAGGACAAAGGAGAGTCCATGGTGCCGGGGTGAATGGGAAACTAGGTTGTGTGACAATGTAGATTCGCCTTAAGTTAGTTGCTGTCCTCTGCAAAGCAGCATGTGCCACATAGACCCTTTTAGCTTAGTTAAGAAAAGCATTCTGTCCTGTGTTAGATCCCCACCCAGCCCTCTCCTTCTCTCTGGAGTTCAAAGGCACAGATTTCCTTCTATTCAC